ATACCAGTGTAAACTATAATAATAATAAAATTAGAGTCACTGAACCCTATTGATTATTCATTTTGTTATAAAGAGTAAAAGACTGATCACAGTAAGTTAAAAAGTTAATCTCCAGTAAATTTGTTTTTTTTTAAAAAAAAAAGTTAATCTCCACTGCTCTTTTATTACAGGCCACCATTTAAACGCCTGAAATAATTTGTCCTTTCACATTGTTTAAAGGATTGATTTAGTTGTCCCCTAATCATCTTTATATTTGGGGGATCAAGAATAATCTTGGCATAAGTAAAAAGATTTTTTCCATGTAAGCTGGGGGGGGGGAAGCCCCAAACCCAAACAGAACAAACAAAAACTTGGGCAGTTTTATCTTCTTGGAAAGATGACAGAAACCTCTGTGTGTGTATTCATATAAAGCTAACTTTATATATATCAATGGCAGTTAGTTCCGTTGCTCAAATTCTTATAACATGCAAGTCTTTTCACGGATGTTTAATTAGTATTTCCTCAGTTAAAATACAGCAGCATTTTCTCTTCTCTCCTTAATGAGTAAAGGGAACATCTGATGCATATCCTTGTCTTAAAGTTCCTTTTGTATGTCTTATACCTTATAGTGCGTTCTTTTCTCACTGAGACAGGATAGAACTTCTGGTTTAATCTGGCGAGAGCTAAAAAGGGACCAACAGTGCATGAAAGCTTTCCTTTTCCCACCCGACTGGCTTAAAGAATCCCAGATAAACTAACACAAGAATGCTACGGGTTACAGTATGGGTTTTGTGGGGGGTTTTTTGCGCTAAAAGCTATAGCAGTTTGATTCAAAGCCCAATAAAAGAAGCAGAATTGTAATGTTTTGTAATTATAGACAGCACATACTAGTAACCAGCTGATTATTAACATAAAAGCAGTAATTCTTCTGCACAACCTGTATTTGCAAATTATGCTAGCTTGGCTGTCATTAGAAACAACAGATTGAAGGATGATGCAGCAGTAGAGTGGTATTTGCGCCAGGGACAGAGGAGGTGTGTCCGTCATGCCAGACAAAAAACCCAGCCACAAAAGAAAATAAGCTCTTGAGTCAGCATTTGTTAAGTCTGTCATTGTTGTAGAAGCAGCTGCACGTGGAAACAAGACAAACAGAATTTGAAATGAAGAGCTGGATAAGCAATTAGCAGTTGCCAGCAGGGATGGAGAAAACTGTTGGGCCTGATTGCCTATTAACTGCTCTGTTTTTCATGACAGCTTTGATAACAGGTCAAAAAAGTGGCAGGAGCTGCTGCTTGGCCTGCTCACTGTATCCGTTGTGGTTGTTCAGCCACAGACTCTCTTCCGTACACAAAGAAATACCACGATGGCATCAACAGTAGTTTGTGTATGTATTTGTATTGGATGTGGAATGTTTCCAGGAGACCCCAGTGCACTATCTTCAGATACGAAAAGCCTTCCCAGGCGTGGAAGGCAGGCTGGGAATAGATGAATATTGTCAGTTCATGTTAAGCATATTGGTGAGGACCTAAAAGAGGATCAAGGTCACTTTCTCAGCATAAAAACGGTGTTTGTACCTACCCTGTCCTGGGGCAGTAAGAGATGGTTTAACGTAAGCATAGACTGCAGAAAATCTAAGTGTCATATGAACACTACCAGAGTAGAGAGAAGTGTGTTCTTTGTAATCAAATATATCTTTCAGCAGGTAGTTGTGGTTCCAATAGACATGTACCTTGGGAGGCTTAATGTTAAATCTTGTCGAATTGTCTGTGGACTGAGTCATCTTGGGTGGTGATAAGCCTGTGTGTGCAAGGTATTTATTAGTTTAGACAGAAGGTCCCTGTTTGTATATTGTAATTCTCTGAAATGTTGAACTAATTTGGGTGTTGTCTCCGATTTCTCCAACTAGATCTGTCCTGAATGCCAGAACCACAATTGCAGCATTTCTGCCATTTAATTGACCAGCTAATTTACCCTGTAATTATATAATAGGGTATTTAGGACTGTCTTTTTAGAGCAGAGGTATTAGCTCTATTTATCTGCTTTGTTCAAGAACAGATGTTTCTACTATGTTGCTGAAATAATCAACATCTTTGGAAGTCAAAGATTGCTATTTTTTGAAATAGAATATGATGGAAAATCTAAACTATGACCCATAAAAGGGGAGGGGTGAAACTAATTGCATTGCAACTTTGCAGAAATTGTTTTTGATAAAATCTGACTCACGGTAATGGTAAATAGTTAAAAACATTGGCTGTATAACAGAAGTGGTGTTGTCTCTTGCACCTGTGTGGCTAAATATTTCACTTAAGCTTTGACGTGCTCTTTCTGTATTTCAGAAGACTGTCTTCTGGGTTTTTTTGCAACTTCAGAGTCCTTTGAATTTCCTCAGTAATTTGGATTCAAATGTTTACATTTTCCCCCCACTTTTTCCATAGTTCATTATTTCTATATTTTTAGTTGCCACATCAGGGTTCCAAACAAGGTACTTGCACTTCCAGAAACAACTGTGTGTAAGGTCACTTTTTCTGAATCTAGATTTTAAATGTGTGGGGGTTTTTTTCTTTTGGGTATGAAGACTGATACATGCTGCTAGTAAGCTTAGCAAAATGGATGAGTAGGATTTTAGTACTTAAATAAGATTGAGTGACATGAAGGAAAAAGACTTAACTTGCCACCCACACTCAAGGCCATATCCTCTGTGACCGACAGGAACAGTCCCAGTGAAGACACACAAAATACTAACCCGAGTAAAGTAGACAAGATCTCATTAAAGTAACCCACTGTTGCTTAAAAACTGTTTTTATATAGCATCATGGAAGAAAACTAAATGACTATGGAAACATTATATAGCATCATGCAAGAGAAGTAAACTATGGGCTTAAAAGAAGCAGAAACATTTGCTGAGATGAGAATCATCCAGTGAGCCCAAATAAATATTTTTACTTTTGTACTTTGAGACAGTAATCCCATACTCTTGTGACGAAAAAATTTATTGTGTTTTCATGAATGGTCTGGCAATACAGTTGCTTAGAAGGTTTCACCACATCTCATGTTACATGTTTTCCTTAAGACCGTGACCCCCAGTTGAAGTTTGTTACATGAGAATCTTAACTTCCAAGCCGTTTTCTTTTTATAGGAAATGTTTAACACTAATGGTTTCAGGTAAGTACAAACTTCAAAACATAAACTCCAAAGATTAAAAAAACCCGACAGCAACCAAACAAGAAAAAAAAAGTGTAAAAAATGTTCTTTAAAATATAAAGTCATGGTATTTTATAGTATTTTGAACAAATAATTGCTTTGTTTGTTTAAAAATAGTGTTTTGAGAGAAGTTGGGGGCTACTCATTGCTAGCTCATGAGCATTGCTCGTGTCATAATGCCTACAGGTTTAGCTACATGTGGGATACCTCATTCAGCATTTCTTTTTTAGCTCTAGAGACCTTTCCAGCATTTTCTACAGGGTATTCTTTTTCTCATTACAAACAGATCAACAGTTCTTAGTGAGTAGTTCAAAGCATAGTATAGTTTATTCTCTGCCTTACGGAGTTCTCTTACCAGCAGAAAAAACAGTAGCAAGAAGATTGTCCCATTGCCTCTTGTATTAGAAAATCAAAGGTAAAAACTTACTTTGCATTTATGAAAATGCCGTTGAGGGAATCGAAACTATTGTATTGAAAACTGCCCAGCAATCTAAATGTATGCATAGTTACTAAAAAGCTGAGTTTTTAATTTAATAACTCTTATATAGAATATGAATAAAAATTATGAAAAGTTTATCATGGAAGTTCAACAAAATGCAAAATAATATGAGGAGGAATACCATAATATGTAGCCTTGGATTGGTAGCTTTGAGTAAAACTGTCAGTCCCAATATCCTGGTCAGGTTCGAATTTCTGTCTACCTGAATTTCCATCCAGTGGCATGCTTTCCGAGATGATATCCAAATATGTTGAATAGCTGTGTTTCTTAATAATTTAATATTTGCAAGTCCATTTTTAAGCCAGATTGCTTTTGCTTTATAAAAACCCAAACAAAGAAAAAAAACTAAGGCAGACCTTACACTCTATGGTAGGCACATCACCACCTGTAGCACGTAGTGCTGTCTACAGCCAGGTGCTGCTCAGAGCTTCATATGTGCAGGTGGGTGCTGCTGTAGGCTTGCTTTGGGTGTGCAATGGCATGTGCGCAGTGGAAAATGGTAAATGCAAGTAACATCTTGCGTACGGAGGCAATTGTGTGTGACTTCCTTACAAACTCACACTTACTGACAAGGGTCCGAGTCATCCTGTGGTAGTAAAGCTTCTCTAAGAGGGAATGGGCAAGGATCTGTTGTGGGGGTTTGTCAACCCTTGCAAAGGTTTTTGATGGAGCTAGGTAGAGAAAATAGATTCATGTGAGCTAGGTAGAGAAAATATTCATGTGAAGACTCCAGTCTTTGTGCTCAGTAAAAGCCTTTTTTAGGCTCTTCAAGAGTGGCATGAGACAATAGGATTGTCAGAAGGGTGTGGTAAAGGTCAGGAGGTGGTAACTTCTGCAGCATCTGTGGAAGGGCTCATCAGTGTTCTCCCGCTGACTGTAAGCATGTGCTTGAAAGTGCCCTGCTGAGGTTTACTACTGTGCAAATGTTGGAGTGTTGCCTCCTAGCGCTGAACACTAATTGGCAATGATACCGCATTGCGCTTAGAAATTAATTTTTTTAAAAGTTGTTTGTTGAAGTGTGAGGTGATGATTTTAATGCTGGAAAACCACTGGGGCAATGGAGGTAGATTGTTGGTCAGCGCTTATTCTATGCGAATGAAAACAGATGCTGCTATTGTGAATTCTCAGTCACTGTTACAGTGAAAAGAATTGCTAGGTGTTTGATGTACCTTAAAGTGTTGTTTGTAATGTTTAAAGTGTGCCAGGCCTGGAAATGTCATTCAGGTCTGGTACCTTCTATTGAAAAGATCAGTAACTTGTAGTAGTATGTACTTGGAATTAAAACCTTATAAATTTCCTTTTTATTATTATTAGGTATAAGCAACTGAGGACAACGCTTCTTGCTGTCCAAAGATGGAAAACAACATAACTACTATCTCTCGTGAAGAGCTTGAAGAACTAAGAGAAGCATTCAGTAAAATAGGTATGTTTTAATGAAGGAAATAATCAGGTTGCCCTTAACATTGCAAAACCATGTAGGATGTGTAGAAGGAATCTTTATGGATCACTTTGTTTTGATAGGGCCATATTTTCATAGAATCATAGGTTGGAAAGGACCTCTAAGATCATCAAGTCCAACCATCCACCCAACACCACCATGCATACTAAACCATATTCTGAAGTGCCACATCTGTGCGTTTTTTTGAACACCTCCAGGGATGGTGACTCCACCACTACCCTGGACAGCCTATTCCAATGTCTGACCACTCTTTCAGTAAAGAAATTTTTCCTAATATCTAATCTAAACCTCCCCTGATGCAACTTGAGGCCATTGCCTCTTGTCCTATCACTAGTTAGCTGGGAGCAGAGACCAACACCTGCCTCACTACGCCCTCCTTTCAGGTAGTTGTAAAGAGCAATATGGTCCCCCCTCAGCCTCCTCTTCTCCAGGCTTAACAACCCCAGCTCCCTCAGCTGCTCCTCATAAGACTTGTTCTCTAGACCCTTCACCAGCTTCATTGCCTTTCTCTGGACATGCTCCAGCACCTAAATGTCTTTTTTGCAGTGAGGGGCCAAAAACTGAACACAGTACTCGAGGTGCGGCCTCACCAGTGCCGAGTACAGGGGCACGATCCCCTCCCTGCTCCTGCTGCCACACTATTCCTGAGACAAGCCAGGAGGCCGTTGGCCTTCTTGGCCACCTGGGCACACTGCTGGCTCATGTTCCGCCAGCTG